TGTCTCTGCGTTACGGTAGGCATGTTACAGACATACAGGCACATTTTTGCTTTGTGGAAGCGAAGTCAGGGTTGGTGTGTTGGCTCTGGGACAAGAAACCTCATTTCTTTTGGAAAAAAAAGTAGTTTCCGAATTACTTTTGTGTGATTAGTGAGATGGATTCAGAGTTGGAATGAGTGGGTCAGTTTGTCTAAAGCACAGATGTGCATCTTATCTGTTCCTGACCTGTGGTACACCTAGTTCTTGAGCAGATCTTGAGGCCAGCATCTGTAAAGCCAGTTGACTTTTATTTTATGGCTGATATGTTTTACGCCTGATAAATTTCGGGTATTCAGGGACTTTCTATAGCAACATTAAAAATTACCTGGGATATCTTGATACTGTGCTGATTCTAATTGAACAGTGGTGTTATAAACCACAGGATCATCCTCCGGGAAGGGGATCCTACAGATAACCAGGGCCTGTGGCTCGGTGGTTTTGGGTGATCGAGGGAGAACAGGGTGACAGGTTACCCACACTGTAATACAGTTTTGGCACTACGACATTGCCGAGCGTCGCTGGGACATGTGTGGTTTGAGAGCCTGAGAAGAGGTGTGCTGAAGTGGACTTTTGTTTTAAGCAGTGAGTATCGATCCTGGTGTGGCCCCGGGGACTGGAGGCCCGTGGGCAATTTGGGCATGGTTCATAAGCCCTTGTGCACATCCCTTTTTTTTCATCTGTTATTTTTTATTATTATTTTTAAATTTATTTAATCCTAGTTTTACTGGTAAGGAATGCACTTTACATGCACTGCAACTGCTCCAAGGTGCAAAGCAAAAAGTAGATGCAAGTGGGAGAGATTTTTGTTTAAAAGCGCACTTGGAGCTAAAATGGTAGTGTGGGTGCATCATACTTTGCCATGTTGCCTGTAAATCCACAGAATATTTTGAAGGAAGACTTGGAATTTTTATAAGGGCCAGGAAAAAGGGCCTCAAGGATGTTGTTACATTTTCAGAATGGGTTTGGGACATACAGGTACAAATATCTTGAGATATTTTTAATGGGCCCTTTGCAAATTGGGCTAGAAATCTAAGACTGTTAGGAATTATGTGTCATTTCTACTTATTTTTGGCTCACTTCTCTGTGTCTTCGGTTATTTAATTGCTGTACCTAAAATAAAGAGCAATATTAACATCTATTAAGTGCCCAAAATAAGCAGTCTATTGCGTGTGGAAAGAAAACAGCATTAATGAAGTAGATTTGTTAGTATGTGGGGTATGTGTGTACATGCATGGGTGCATACATAAAGATAAATTTATTTTTTTCTCTAATTTTCTTCTTTTCGGCCTTCTCTATTTGTTTTTCCGTTTTCATTTACATGATGCCGCTTTTAAGAAATCTTCTCCGTTGTCTCCCAGAGAAGCCCTGGGGCCATGTTTTGGGGCATTAGGGAAGATGGAGTTCCCATGGTTTGTAGTTTAGCGGGTTTGATTTCTTTGCCATTGCTGTTTTCCTTTGGCAGGCATCCTTGGCAAGTTGTAACATCAGCATGAAGCGAGGGGGTGGCCATGCGCGTTGAGCACGGAGAGCAACATGGCTGGTGGCCTTGGGGTCGGTGGCTCCCCTCTCCATCCCACCTCTGCTGCTTTTTGCCGTCATCCTCTCGCTGTTGCTGTCTTGGGTCATTCCCGCTGAGCCCGAAGGAGGGAGGCAGCATCGTTCCTGGGGCTGGGAACAGCAGCAGCTTCCCCGGCACATGCACTGGGGTTCACGCAGCTCTGGGCTGCCTCTTCAGCTGGCTGCGAAGTCTGCTCCCGGGGCTGGAGGTGGCCCCGCTGCAGAGCCCTTTGCTGGGGCATGTTTGACTTTGCCCCTAGTTTCGAGGGCTGGCAGCATAAGCCCGGCAGCCAGAATCCACCCCGGTATCAATTCATAGTTTGTCAAAGGGAAATAATTACTGTATCCACTCCTACCTGTACTTTTGCTGTATTTTCTCTTTAATGTGATAGTTTGCTTTTGGCATGGGAAGGAAGGTGGTTTGTTGTTGCTTGCTCTTCTCACAGTTCCTCACTTTCCTTGGCTGTGGGATGTCTGGGTGAGCCACCGGCCTGTGATGGGAGTAAATAAATGAGTTTTCAGAAAACATAAATAAGCACCGAAAAAAAGGGTAAAGCAATGTCTTGGTAAAAAACAGGAACCTTTTGCGCCCTTTCCAGTTTCATGTCCTCATCAGGCAAGCTGTGTATTTATTGAACACATTTCTGTTTTTCTAGGTGTTACAGCACAAAAGCCAGTGTTGCACTGCCACCTCTTGATAGCCGGGCAGGACAGCACGTGGAAGTGCTCCTTGCCTTACCAAAGCATCTTGTGGAAAACACTTTGAACCAGCCTTGAAAAATGATACTCATTTGACTTGGGCAGGTGAATAACACTTCTGACAGAGAAGCAAAACATCAGCTTTTTTTCTTTGGCTGTCCAGCTACATAACCGGTGAATTGATGTGGCATCTCCACAATTCTGCTTTGAGTGGAGAGCCCCCTGTATATTAATAGTGCAGGTCGTCTTTACGTAGCAAATAGCGCTTTCATCTGATTTCTGAGTTTTGATCTATCTTTCTGTGTGATGCAGCAAGATTTTCAAAATCTTGAAACGAATGACCTGTGAAACAAATACTACTCTTTGTGTGCCTATGCAATGTATGAAGGGTTCTTTAGGAGTCTTTTTAAATGTAATTACCTTTTTTTCTGAAGGAGAATATTGTTCCTCTTCCTATGAAACTTCTCTGTAACAAGCGGTCATAAATAGAGATGATTTGTGCAAGGTATGACAGCAAAACATAGCTGAATAAAATTAGCGTTTGGCCCTGCACATGGTAGAATTGTCTGCTAATGCGTGAAATGGCTAAAAATGACATTCATGTCACACGCTGCTTAATGAACAAGCACCCAAAGTATATTGTAATTTGGCAGGTGTACCTTGTATGTCAGGCATCACTGGGGATGTGGGTGAGTGGGGTAGGGTTAATATCAACGTACCTTTCTTCACAAGTTGTATTGCACGAGCTGTAAGTTATTGTACTGGAGCAATTATTTTTTCCTTTAGAAATGAGAAGGATTTAAGTAGCTCTGCATTTTTATTTATTTCCTTAACAAACTAAAACCATCCTCGCCCCTTTGGCAGCGCAGTATGCTCGAGCTGCTCTGTAACCACGGGTTCTGGGTTTCTTTAGACACATCCAGCGTAGCGTACAGACCCCCATTTCCCATGCGGGATAACCCCAGCTCTCCCACTTGAGTCCTGCTGGCACCAACTGGGTGTGAGCCCTTCCTGCACAGCTCTTTGTGTCATTTTTCCTGTGCCCTCTCCAAACTGAGCTGGCAGCGCTCGCTGCCTGCCCTCCCTCCCTCCCTCCTACCCCCAGCTATGTGCCTGGGGGAGGGTTTGGGGGTGTCCATGTGCTCATTGACTCGCCAGTGTCTGTGGGTGGTTTCAGGCAAACATGCTCCTTTTGAGGTCTGAATTCATCCTGTAGCCTCTCCTCTTCTTGAGTTCAGTTGGGTCTTTCCTCTACAACATGATGGCACTTGTAGGAAGTCGTATCTTGGGGAGCTCTTCCCAGTGTCAAATTTGGTTGCAATTGATGGGTAAAATTCAAAAGTTAGACGATGGGAGGGAGAATGTGGTCATTTTCTCCTGTTTCCTTGGGAGATCTTGCTAGGAAAGGATGCCTAGAAAGAATATGTGTGCCAACCTTATGATGCCAATCATAACCTTGCAGTTGCTGCTTCCTGCTGCGTTTGCCGCTTTCCCGCTTGGTGCAACAGTGGCGAATGGCCTGACCACGCAGCCACGTAGCAAGAACTTTTTGTTTTGAACAATACAAGAAAACCTGTTCTCTAGTCCTGTTTTCACGTCAGATCCAAGTCAAACCTCATCAAGTAACAGTAGGAAAGTTGCTTACGTTCTCAGACTCGAGTTCCATAGAAGAAAACAATGGTGGTGGGCACGTGGGTAAAAACATTGAAGGCCTCCTGATGAAAAGTGCTGGGCACACTAGGAACTGGAGATGGGCTTTACTTCATACTGTGTTCTGAAAGCCGATGGTTTTTACTTGTTTGCTAGATGTCATGGAAAGATCAAGATTTTCAAACATTCAGAAGTCATGAGAATGTTCTCAAAAATGAGGCTTAAAGTTAGAAAAAATTCTGTGTTCTATCTCTTCATGTTTTAAAGACTCTTGTTTCATATTTTCAAAATTTGTCATCAAAAGTATATGTAGTCTGATACATTATTTGTCTTGTTAAATGTTTACCATTAATAAAATCAAGGGAAAATTGTGTGTATATATCCATCAATATTTCTAAAGCATTGATTGAAACCCTAGAGAAATTTTACTAAAAATGGTCTGTTTAATGTTTGACTCTTAATTTCAAGATTTTCTTTTGTAACGCGTAAGTGTATGGCTGAGATGTTTTCTGATTTTTAGTGGAAATAACTGGGCTTTCTTTGAACAGATACAGTGTTGTAGGCCATATTGCACATTTTTACTAGAGTGGGAGTACCTGAAAATTGAAGTAGATTAGAAAGTAGAACTGAGAACTTGCCTGGATACCAATGTGAAACCAAGTTCTCGACCTTTGTTACCCAGGCAGAGAGAAATCCACACTTTGAAAAATGTATTCCATAGCAATAATGTTGATTAGATGAAACTCACTTGATTATTTTTTAAAAACCTGTGAAATGAGGCCTTTTTAGTGCTGGTATTAAGCGGCATGGTTCCCCCGTCCATACCAATTTACATCATTTGAGAATCCAGCCCTTCAATATTTAATTTACTGACCTTTATGTTGTTGTGAGACAAATGACTTTTTAATGACTATAGTAGACTTATTTGCATTATAAAATAAAACCATTGTCTGTGCTGCCAGGGAGCTACTTACTTTATAAATACAGCATTTGTTGAGAAATACGTATTAGGTACTAAAAATATTTAATTGACCTACTTTTTTTTTTATTTTCAGGGTTGTGTCCTTTGTTGTGACCTCATGGTTTAACTGGGAATAAAGATGAGTATAAGCAGTGATGAGGTTAACTTCCTGGTATATAGATACTTGCAAGAGTCAGGTGAGTTTTTACAATTCTGGTTGTTAAACAATGCATAATTTGTTTGGTATTCATCTGCGACTGGCTTTAGCGAACGCAGACTCGCGTAATTATTTTGCCAGTAGGCATGTGCTTCTGTCTGAACTGTTTCTTGGTGTTTCTTCTCAACAAGAGAATGAATTCCTGCCAAGTTACCTTCTGTAACTTAATCAGATTTAGTCATTTGGAGTCTTCAGATGTCAGTCAACCAACTAAGGACTCACTCGATTGCTAGAAATGCATTTTCCTGGAGATCCTTATCTACAGGGTGACGATGACACTTTGCACCATTTTCTTTGGGACTAATTGAAGAAGAAAAAAGGATGACCGCCAAAATACTGTGTTTTCCTCTTCTGTCTTGGAGTGATGGTGTTCCTGCGAGCCGGTCTTGCGTGGCCAAATTCCTTGCCTGATTGTGACTATGGAAGGGCAGATGTTGCCGTACTTCAAAGAAAGAAGTGGCAATTGTGACCATGTGACTTGTATCATTTGAATCTCAATACAGATTTTTTTTACAGCAATAACTCTTGGGTTCTCAAAAGCCTCCCTCCCTGCAGGACGCTTCCTTGGAGGATTTTGTCCTTTGGTGTCAGGCTAGCCAAAGCCTCCTGCTCTTAGGAGTAAAAGCAAAAGACAGCTGAATTGTCAAACTTGAAAAGAAACTTTTTTCCTGTTGAGTTTCTCCAAACTGACTATGTCTGTAAAATACAAACAAGAATGCAGCAGCGTTCCCTTGGACAGTTTATTTTTAAAACTTCCCAAACCCAGTCGATTCAGCAGTTTGAGTTTGTGTTGCATGTTTGGGTTTCCAGGTGCAGCCATATGGCTGCAGGGGGTTTTGTGGCGGTGGTTGTTCTTGAAGAGGCAACATCTTTTCCTCACAGCTATGGTATTGATTGCTTAAAGCAGCCTACATTTAGAACAGGTAGATTAGACTGGAAATCAGGGCATGCCCCAGTCAATGAACAAGTGATGGTTGTCAGCTGGCAGGAGGGAGTATGATCTTAGCAACAGACAAAAGAAGTGTTCGTATTAAAGCGGAAATAAACTCCAATCTTGTGGTAACAGTGCAAGCTTTAATGTATGTGTTTCAACATCTACTGATTCTTAGTTTTGTTTAGTGATTGCTGATGGGTGGCTTCAGGCTTCTTGAAAATGCATTTGACTGATGCAACATCTGCACAGTGTTTATGTCCGCTGCTCCTGGACTTCTCAAATTGAGACCAAGAAGCACCAGAAGCAATGGTGGATGGCAGTGTTTTTCAGTCTCTGCTTGTCAGAAGAAAGCAGAAACTCATTGTTCCGCCTGAATTTACTGAAAACTATTACACGTTCATATTCCACTTGCAGATTGCCTTTGTCACAGAAGCCAAACTTACAAAATTGCTTTATCTTCATTTGAAAGTTTGCAGGCAGCTTCTTAGTTACCTGATGGGGGCGGGGGGAACGAAAACAGAAACCCAGAAACCTGGTTTAAGAAAAAATTCTGTGACAGTAAAATTGATTTGCTGAAACAGCTATTTTTCAGTAGGTTGAATTTGCCTTTTCAGGGTGATGAGATAAATAGCGAGTAACTGCCAGTGCTGCTCTGTAAGATGCTTGCCGTTTCTGAATCGTTGCGCAATACTGATGTAGTTCTAAATGCCAAAATGTGCACAATTATGACAGCACCGTACCATGAAGTGAGTTCTGATCTACATACAGATCCATTTCACTTTCATGGGTAACAAATCAGTGAGTAAAAATAACAAGTGGTGTCTTGGAGATATGTATTTTCTTAAATACTGTATATCATACAATACATAGATATAGTTGGAGAATACATAAATATACGTAAATGCTATTGCAAATTGTATATTTTATATTTTTATATTTACTCATGCACAAATGTTTTGCCAATGATACCGTAAGTAGTTGCTGTGTTTATATATAAATGTTGTTTTTCTCTTTTCGTACATTTAAACTAGAAACATATGAGGGAAACGACAGAGGTGTTTTGACGCGTTTTTTTTGTAGTTCATAAGCGTGCCATAACTTTGTGTGATTTGCTTACGTTCGTGAACAGAAGATCCTACAGTGATATGGCAAGTAGCATTGTCTATCTATAAATGAATTCTGATGTCTTTGCCTTGTTTTTAGGGTTTTCCCATTCAGCATTTACCTTTGGTATAGAGAGCCATATCAGCCAGTCTAATATAAATGGTGCTCTGGTGCCACCAGCTGCTTTGATTTCCATCATCCAGAAAGGTCTGCAGTATGTAGAGGCAGAAGTCAGTATTAATGAGGTAAGGAGGCTTTGCCTGCAGGAGCATTATGTCCTTGCTTGCAGTAAGTTTGAATGCTAGTATTTTTTTCTTAACTTTCTTGTATCCTATTTATTTACTTTTACTTCAGATTCCTTACTGCTGGTGTTCACCATGACTCCAGTGGTGGAACCAGAATGGAGTGACATAACTGGGTAGGGGTTCTGCCCAGTGCAGCCACACAACACCAGGCATGGTGTTCTGGCTCATTGCTTAAAGGTCCGTTGTCTGTAGATTTTTCACCCTAATATAATGTTGTAGTAAATCCAGACAAGTGCAATAAGATAATCATTGAGACAAGTAACCGCTTAATTTTTATTTTCCTAGACTTGCACTAGGGAGGTGGGAGAGCACTGTGCAGCTCTCATTTGGGTGATGTGTTGTTACAAGGAAGCAATGAGAGCCCAAAGGCAAGGTTTCCAAATAGAGAGAGGGTTTCAGCTTGTGGCAGGAAGGATGAAGGTATATGCCAGTTTGCTTTTTGACTCTGCTGGCTAATTCATCTAGATCTGCAGGATCTATTAAATTTGATGTTTAGATGGTTACTCCAGCAGTACAGAAAGCTATGTATCTTCCTGCCTGATGCTGCAGATACTCGCCTGTAATTTCCATTTCATTTATGCCTGGAAGGTTGGCAGCCTTTGTATGCGTCAGTTATATTACAGAAGGAAACTTTTTTTTTTTTCCACTAATTCTGCTCTCTTTCCAGTCTCCCTTGTATATGTGTAGTTTTCATAGTCCCAGTGAAGCAAATCCTTTCCCTTAGGAAGCCTCAGAAAAATAAAGTGATTGGAATAGAAGAGGGAGACCCTATATTTATTGCAACGAATCCTTCTAGCTCCTAAAAATAGATCCTTACAAAGCCCCAGCATATGTATAAGAGTATTTTTAACTGGGTCTTGTCCATTTCAGGATAAAATTCTTTCTTGTTGTTTGAAAGCATGCCAGCACTGTTTAAAAAAAGGAAGAAAACTAGTCAACTCTCCAGATAATATGTTTATGGAAAGTATTAGTCTAATAAGATAGAATAACTTCACAAGCCAGTGACCCGACTTGCAATGTTTGCAGCTCTTCAAACAAACCATTAGATTTTGTTGCAGCCACTCATGTTTGAAATCATATTCATAGATAGCTTACAGAATTTTTCGCTTTAGCAGACAATTTAGCAAACTCAAAGCATGTAAGTTTTGATTCCAGAGGCTCTGCCAGAGGCCTGTGGTGGCTTTTTTTGCTTATTTATGGTGGCCACTTAACTTGAGACTAAAATTCCAATCCTAACCACAGCAATGCTGAGATATCACTTCCAGCACCATTTATGAACTGTTTTATTATATTAAATCCAAACTTTTACTTTACTCTTCCATGGAATTTTTGCCCATAATGTTAATTTGTACTTGGTATTGTCTGTTTTTGTTTTCTCCCTCTGCTGTAATTTAGGATGGTACCTTGTTTGATGGTAGGCCGATAGAGTCTCTCTCACTGATAGATGCAGTAATGCCTGATGTGGTACAGACAAGACAACAGGCCTACAGAGATAAACTTGCACAACAGCAGGCAGCAGCTGCTGCACCTGCCACGAACCAACAGGGATCAGCGAAAAATGGAGAAAATACTGCAAACGGAGAAGAGAATGGAGCACACACTATAGCAAGTAAGTTGAGACGGAAGTGACCTTAACCTATGTTAATGTCATTTCCTTGTCATTCGTCATAGTACGAGCTATGTACAAGTGTTCTCTCGAGTACAAGAGAATGCCTTCGTCATGGGTGATACTTTAAGGATGGTGTCTCGCCTTTGACTGTCCCTGGTTTGGTATTTGGGATTGCAGGAGGCGATGCAAACTTCTGAATTCGTTAATTCACAGCATTCCATTGACCAGACTCACTTCCAGTACTGCTCCTTTCCCATCGTCTGAAGGTTTTTCACAGGATCCTCTGAGAGCTCTTGCCTAAAAAGAAAAAAAAAAAAATAAAAATCAGAGGCAACTCCTTAAATGCTGCATCTCCTCAGCTTTGGCCTCTGTACAAGGAATAAGGAGAGGAGTCTGCTAATCCACAGGTGGTTAAAACTGAGCGTTGGTCGTGAAGCTCCGCAGTCTGCGTTTGGCCGGTTCTGGGAACCCCGTGAAGCGGAGAGCTGTAGCCGGCTCTCTGTAGGACAGGCTTCCTTGTCATACTGGGGTCATCCTGGCTGCTGAGACAAATCCTGCGTCCGTTGTCTCCTTTATCGCGATCAGCTTTCGTGATTTGCTATTCAGAATTATTCGATGCAACTGCTTGCAGGTTTGGTTTGTTCATTGGTTCCATTTTAGTTGTGCTTGGTGAAACAAGTGAGTTGTATTTGTCGTCACTGGTCAAAGGAACATACCTTACAGTCAGGCTTAGTATAGAAAAGTTCAGGTCAGGCATTAAAGTGTGATTTTGAAAATACTGTTCTAGAAGTCTGAATTACATATTTGAGAGGGGGAGTTACAGGTTTTGCTGTAAAAGCACCGGAAGAAAAGACATTGTTGAGAGAATATTCATATCAAGCCATGTAGGAGTTTTGTGTTTTACAGCTGGGTTTTACTGGGATTTTTTTCATTATTATATGTGATAAATAAACTGGAAATATCGTCTTTGGCTTCATCAAAGTAGAGAGCTTATTTGTTTCTTTCATTTAAAAATCTCAAAAGAGGATTTAGTTGTTGCTATGAACTGGATAGAGTAAGTGTAAACTTCAGATCTCAGCTGCTGCTGAATGTGATATACCAGCAACCCCTACTGGCTGGTACACCAAATTATACTGGCATTGATTCTCTTTAATTGAAGCAATGTTTTATTTGGTGCTCTTTCTTAAAAATACACATGTTCTAATAGCCTTTTCTGTTTTCTCACATATACAAACAGTGACAGAAATCCTTAATGTTAAATTAAGCAAGAGATGTGAAATGGTTTGTTTAACCGCAGCGAATAAATACCGAGCAGGTGAACGGTTCAATGTTTTTTATATTCGTCGTTTACACTCAGCGTGAATTTATTTTTAGTAGAAAGTGATTGACGGCAACTGCCACGAAAACTCTTTTTGTCAGTGGAATTACCCCCAGTATGTTTTACAGAACAATATGGATTCAACATCACTTCCCCGCAGAAAGCTATGTATTGTCACAATTCCATGGTAATTGCTGATGCACTTAAAGCTCTGTTATCAGTTTACCATATCACCAAATGTTATTCTATTAATTAAGGCCATTTTGTAAATGAAGTGTCTGAGATGGAGATTTAAAACCTGTTTGACTGCAATCGGTGAAAAGAGATTTTTGAAAATGAATGTGTCATAAACATATTTTTAAAGCACAAGATAGACTAGTAACATATTGTACTATGCAGTATGCTGCCTGAAAAACTGTGAGTACTTTTAACATCAGCATTTATTTTCTAACATAGTAAAAAATTAACTTTTGGCCTCAATTTTGAAGTTTCAAAATGAAATCCATTTGGATACTGAGGTTTAGAAGGGCTAAGAGCTTTCTCACAGTTTTGAAACTCCCCATCTGTTTATAGTACTTCATAAATTGGAACTGGGAAAATAAAGGAACATTACAGCTTTGTCAAACTTTGATCCATGTAAATTGTGAATCAGTTGTTATACTAATCCCAGAAGAATATGGATTGTACAGTAGTTACAATTACTTGTAACCAAAATATTAAAATCCACCTCTCTCTACTGTTGTTTCCCATAATGCAGATAATCACACAGATATGATGGAAGTAGATGGAGATGTTGAAATCCCTCCCAACAAGGCAGTGGTGCTGCGTGGCCATGAATCTGAAGTGTTCATCTGTGCCTGGAATCCCGTTAGTGACCTTTTGGCCTCAGGGTACGTGCATTAACCACGTGTGGACGTCATCCCCGTGCTCGTTGGCGTGATTCTGCCTGTGGATGGTGGCGAGTTAAAGTCATACCTGCCCCAGTGCCCTCTGCGTCAGCTGCCACAACGTTTGCCGTGTTGAAAGGAATGCTTTATAGAATAGAATTAACTGGAGAAGGAGTTAGATTCTCATTAACTGTTTTGTAGATCTGGAGATTCGACAGCACGGATATGGAACCTCAGTGAAAACAGCACGAGCGGCTCGACGCAGCTGGTACTTCGACACTGTATACGAGAAGGAGGGCAGGATGTCCCCAGCAACAAAGATGTGACATCGCTGGATTGGAACGTAAGTAGGAATGGCAGGGCTCAAAATACTCCGGGAAAATTGTACCTATAATTCTGCATCGTCAGACTTTAAGTGACAGCAACTGTGCCTCGTCTGCTACGGCTCCTGAAATATTTCTGGTTTTGAGTTGCATTGTAATTTCTTGTGTTGTACTTCGGGGGCTTCTTTTTAATAAATTGTAGTCAGTGGAATAAATATCATAAATCTTACGGAGATGTATTCTACCTGAAACTTGCTTTGAGTTACACAGTAAAAATAAGTAAATAAAGTGACCTTTTTCCTGGCAGAGTGAAGGTACACTTCTAGCAACGGGGTCTTATGATGGCTTTGCAAGGATATGGACTAAAGATGGTAAGTGAAATACTTTTGATTTCCAGTACATTTTCCTGTATTGTGGCTCGCAGCATAGTTTTTTATTTTTTTAATGTATTCATATCAATATAAATTTTCAGGTAATCTTGCCAGCACCTTAGGGCAACATAAAGGTCCTATATTTGCGTTAAAATGGAACAAGAAAGGAAACTTCATTTTAAGTGCAGGAGTGGACAAGGTGAGATAATCTTTGGTAAAATTAAAATTTTTTCCTTCACCGTTATAATCTAATTGTAAGCATAATAGCAAAGCTATGGAAAGTAAGTAAATTAAACTAAAGGCATGGGACATAAATATGTACGTACAAAGAACTTGTTATACTAGCTATGTTTCCTTGGGTTTTATAGTCGTTTATTGAGATATTTTGATTTATCAGATTTCAGTGTCCCTGGATCTCTTCCCAGTCAAGCTAGCGTAAGCTGCAAAGTGCGTGCGTTGATTGCAGGAACATGAAACCTTTGTAAAACCGAGTCATCTAAAATTTAGTGAAGCGCTTTATGCAAAGCCTCAGAAAAAAATTGTACCGGAGGAATAGGTTCAGGCTGGTTTCGATATCGGTCAAGCCTGAAAATGATTAAAAAGGTAGAGCTGGAACATAAGAAAAGTCAGTATGTCTGAGGTGCCAGTAGTGTAATACTGCGAAGCTCATTTTTTAACTGTGTTTTATTTCACATCTCTTAAACAAAGACTCACGAGGTCTTTAAATTCAAAGCTGTTGCTAGTGTGAGAGATTTTATGAATGGCAGGAAGGGCCCATAGTGATGAAGAATAGATGTCAGACAAATTCAAAGAAGAGAAGAGTATTCAGAGTTTAGTATTTCCTGTGTAACTGATTGAAGGCGCAGAAGTAAACGCAGGCTTTCTCTAGGCAAGACTGGCAAACTGCAAGCTCAGCAATAGCACAGGCCCACGATGCTTAAAACTGGCAGTGTCACTGTAAAGTAGTAGATTTTCTTTATTTTATTTTTTTTTTTCCTGTACGCATTTAACCTGGTTTGCTTTAGTGCCCAGCTTTCTAAATGCTTGTGCTGGCACAAAAGAAGGGAAAGTAAATGCCTTAAAGCATGGAAAGGATGGGTTTCTTCTTTTGGCAGCTGTGATGGCTTATGCCAATTTTTAAATCTTTGTGGAAGTACAGCTTTAATTTGCCAAAAAATATTCTGGAGAAGATAGAAGCCTGTTTTCAGTCAATAAAACTCCTTGGACAAAGCAACTGAGATTATGCTTTGAAAAATATTCTGCATTAGCAGAAGGGTTTGACCCAACCTTACGCTGCTTTTCCATAAATAATTTGTGTGGTCAGTTCATGCTTCCACTGAATTCAGTGTCAAAATTTTCATCGATTGTTGAGATAGGTCAGCAATATTGGCATATAATGTGGTGATTATAAAATACTAATTTTGTCGTGTGAGATTTCTTTCATCAGAAGGATGTCAGAACTATTGGCAGAGAACATCTCAGAACAAAATTACACTCTTAAATCAAATCTTTCAGATTCTTAAGTATGAGACTAATTGTTTACATAAATAACTCCATAGGGACAAATGAGTCTTTGAAATTACACTTTGAATATACAAGTATTTGAAATTAAAATAGGTGTGTGGAGTGGATTACAAGAATATAAATAGGACTAAGGAGGTAAAGCTATTTAATTTTTGTTCATTAAAAAAAAAAACCCATAACCCTCTTCTTCCCTCCAGCCCCAAAAATGTTGTGATTAAACACCTTTCTAATATTGCAACATATTAAGGTTTTCTACAGTTGTCTGTACATCTACCTCTTCCTTTAGTACTGGGTAAAACACTAGAAATACATAATTGGGAGCAGGTTTGGCAATGGGAAGTAGGCTAGGTAGTCTGGTACTTGTGAATGGTGGTAGTTGTGGGGAAATCATCAATTTACACAAGTTTGTTTATTGTTTATTTATCTGTTTAATACAGACCACAATTATTTGGGATGCCCACACTGGCGAAGCCAAGCAGCAGTTTCCTTTTCATTCTGGTAAGTCTTGATTTTGATCATTCAGAATTGTCATCTGAAAAGGTGAAAAAAATGATGTTTATTAAAGAAAAAAAATAAAATACGGAGTTTATGGTGCTTATTTACACCATTTTAATGTCTTACAGGCAGTCTTTGGACACTGACTCCCATATTTGTAATCTGTATTTTGGGAATGTAAACAAAGATAGAATTGCTCTGATTTTGTAACTTTGTAACTCACCATTTTATTGCAGTTCTGTGAAAGTCGTAAGAGATAATCCAAATATTACCGACTTTCTGTAGTACAGTGGCAGACAAACCAAGTGGGTGGGCCACGAAGGATTTGTGTTTATCAGCTAAGGGCTGCATTTGTCATCTTCCTGCTACAGTAATCCCAGCTCCGCATCCCATTGTTCTGCGCTGCCTGCCGTGCTGTCCCCAATTTGTTTGGCCACAAACCAGCTGAAAGGCTGTTCACTGGCCAGCTGGGATGAGAGTGCAGCCTCTCAGGAGGTCAGACAAATTGCTTTGTGGGCTGCACGCTGTGCAAGCCTGCCAGAATCAGCTGGAAAATAGAATAGAGAGGATGACGAACGTGTCATTGAAGGGCCTTTAAGAAATGTGTCTCGTTTCCACTTTTTATTCCACTCGCAGTATGTTTTCAGCGGCATGACAACAATCAAAAACATCAATTCTTGATTTACTCTGAGCAATTCTGTGTGCTATCTGCCATAAATATCTTGGCTTGATCAAATGGAATATGTCACCCATGATTAAGCTTCAACTTACCACACCTTACAATGCTGGAATTAAGAAAGGAAATAAATCATTACCTTTCACTGGCTGCCATCTATCAGCACAAGCATGGGCTGTTAGTGGAGATGAGCTCATGCATGACGATGCGTTAAGTTGTGGGAACCTGTTCCTCGTCCTGACTCTAGATTGATTTATAGATGACTTAACTACAGCTTGTCCTGCTGCACTGTCTTCTCTATAACTGTTTCATTTCAGATATGTTCCATGTTTTAATGACTTCTGTTAAATTTTGTTTAATTTCTTTGTGCAAGAGTGGTTTTGGCTGCATTTCTCACTGTTCATAGTGTTTGAATATCTTTAGAACAGCTGTAACATTAATGATTGCTTCCTGTTGGCATTTGATGTGGCGCCTGCTAAATTTGTGAATCGAACTCCTGCACAATACGTACCATAGTCTCAAATATCTTCATTTTTTCTTTTAGCACCAGCATTAGATGTTGATTGGCAGAGTAACAACACGTTTGCCTCGTGCAGCACAGACATGTGTATTCACGTCTGTAAACTAGGACAAGATAGGCCCATCAAAACCTTCCAGGGTCACACAGTAAGTACTGGAAAATTGGGGGTGGCTATATGATGTACTTACTGATGAGAGATTGGGGGCCCAGTATACTTGCCAGTATACCGCAGTAGTGTAATGGTTGGTCTTTGGCAACAGGCAATAGATACACGTACCCAGGTAGCTGTAGTTAAGGTCATATGGTAACTGTGGTTTCTGTCGTTATTAGAACTATTCTCACTCCCATGTGCAGCTTTTTTTTTTTACCAGTGCCAGGATGGCATAGAAAAAGTGAGCTTTAGAAGAAGAAACGTGGTGACTTTAAGACTTTGCTATGCACAACCTATGTTGTGTAAGAGCATGCGTGGGGAAATGTGATGAACAAGTAGCAAAAAGTTGTGGTGATTGAAGGCAAAGCTAGGAATGAAAATTAAATGTTAAAATACTGACAATTGTACAATACTCATAACTGCTGTCCAACTTTATCTTTCGTAAGCTGTCATTTGTAATGGAAGTGAAGACTCCAACTTATTCTCACTGTTCAATTTTAGAATGAAGTAAATGCAATCAAATGGGATCCAACTGGTAATCTTCTGGCATCCTGTTCTGATGATATGACTCTAAAGGTAATGGGAGTTCTGGTACTGGCTCTTCCCTTTGTAGGGCTCTGGAACGTGCACCATTAGCTTCGGCAATCCAGCAGTATTGCTGTACTTGCCGTGTCGTCTAATACTTGTGCTTTTTTAATGTAACAGGATTAGGCAATCGTAGCAACTCCTTGTTAATCAGAGCCAAGCTTTGGTCCAGAAAACTTGTTACAGGCTGCCACCCTGAGCCTTGGAGCATGATTTATTAGGTGCTTTTAGCTGTTTACAGAATCAGGTCATTAATCATTAAGCTGTCACGCTTGATGGTTGCTTTTGGTTAAAAGGAAGAGTTGGAATGCATGTTGTGTAACACATACAAGAATGGGGACTAGCTCCTTTCCTGGTTTTCTTCTGTTTTCGCCTTCTTTCTAGTTAAAAGCTTTGGCATGTTATTTCTTAAGAGACTGTGTGTACTCCTTGGTTTTTCCAGTTCATCAGGAGTCATTCTACAGTTCGCAATTGCACCTACACTTTTCCTCCAAATAATTCATAGCAACGTGCTTTTCTTGTAGAACTGGGGGAAACTTGGGAATGCAGAGGATACTGTAGCTCATACATATAACTTCAAGGCGCCCTAGAGATCCGTACAAAAATACCACCAGGTTAGATGTGCTAGGAGAAAGGAAGTTGGTCATGCCTGACAGGCCTGTGCTGTTTCCGTGGTGCAGGTGCTTTCCCGTTACTCCCATGCTGCTCTATATTTAGCCGGTGTTTTAGCACTGTGTTTGGTGGAGTTTCAGGATATGGTTTTTTATGTTGACAGCGCTGTCCTACTACTCGCCCTCGGGACAGTTACCTCCATCTAGCTCACTGCTGTTTAATCAGAGACAGGGAACGGCTGAATGAGTAGCCAGATATCCCCTCCTGTGCTGGCACACAGTCAGGCTCTTGCAATGGAAATCCCCTTGTCTGAACATAAACACTTAAGCATTAGGCCTCCAGGCTAAAGCTAGATGTCTAGGCACCTTTAGTCAACGGAGTGTCCAGCACCACTGAAGAACAAGTCATCCTTCCCTGAGTTTGGTGTCTTAAGTCAAGTGTGATGAGAAAACCCCTGCGTGTTCTCCGTTGGCAATGGATGGAGTCACACTCGCCAGTTTAAGCTGGGTATTTAACACTTAGGCAGCGGAAACTCAGATGAGGTGAATTCCAATCCAGAGCTCAAGCTGTTGCTGCTGCCTCTCAGGGAGCAGAGAGGTGACAACTGGGAACGTGTCACCGTTTGTGGGCTCGGGCAATTCAGGCAATTAACTTCTTGGTTGCTGTTCTGAATTCAGCCCAGCCTGGAAAGAATTTTATGATTTTTTTTGTCCAGGTCTAACTGGAAGACCAATTAATTGCTTGTAGATAAGTCTCCATGTCACTTATCACTTGTGGATCACTTACTTTTCAATGGCAGTAGGAATGAATGTCAGGTTCTGAAGCATATGGAAGATGCCTACTGATTTATATATTTATTTATGTGTTTTTCTCTCTTGTGATGACAGCTTGATGTTCTCTAATATGGACTCTTTTCATCTATACTAGTTTTGGGAAGAGAAGCTAGATTTTGAGCCCATCAATTTAAACTGGAAATACAATTTTAATTCTGTCTGCACACTGAAAATCAATTTCCACTTCAGTGAGGCACCAATCCTGAAAAGCATAAATCATTTTAACATACACTTCAGTTGCGTCTTAAATACTGTTGGGCTTAAACATGCTTCTGTTAGCTTTTTCTAACAAAGGGTGAGCCAAAAGCACTGCTGAAACGTGTCATTAAAAAAAGGGTACAGATTATTAGCTGCCATATCAAGTTTCACCTTTAGGAGGAGGTATGAAAGCCTTCCAAATTCCCTTCGGTTGTGGCAATGCAAACTCTTAATAGAACAAAGTCAGTCTGTTGGAGGTTAATCATGCAGGAGTTGCAGTCCTCAGGAACTGAGTGAGGTATTGAGCAAACACCTGGCAGTGCAGCTCCTAATAAGCCAGGAAAGTGCCATAATGGTTTTTCAAATATGCATCTATGGCTTTGTATGAGACCAGGAAATTTCTCTGCTGTCCCTTTATTTCACTCAGTCTGTGTAGCAAGTTCATTTAAAAATAGGACTGTCATATTTTGTCAACTCAGACGTGAACATATACATACTGCTCTTCTCATTTTAGCATCTGTTCTCATCCCTGCACTTTTCAAGGTGCTTGTAGTTAACACAAGCAGTTGGTTTGTACAGACGGCACCTTTATTACTCGTTAACCCCATTGGGTACTTATAACTCAAAGAACGGAGGGTGCTGGAATAGTACTTGTCGTAATTACTCTGGAAACCCAGCAGTCACGGCAAATGTTTTGAGTGGCCTAAAAGGTATCAGTCAGGCTGCAAATGATAAAGAAGAAAGATGTAAAATGTATTTTAATACAATATTGTGCTAAATGTCTTTGTGTTTTCTTCTGTTTCTGTCATAGATCTGGAGTATGAAACAAGACAGTTGTGTCCATGATTTACAAGCACACAACAAAGAAATTTATACTATCAAATGGAGTCCTACAGGACCAGGAACAAATAATCCAAATGCCAATCTTATGTTAGCAAGGTACTATTTAATCCTGGTTTTAAATGCTTGTTAAGCATTATTTTTCCTTCAGTCTTTATGTGTGAAGGTTCACAGAATGTTTTGAAGCACGTAGGATACTTTATCATATTGTGTTTGTATTAGTAGCAAAAATATGGCAGATTGAGATGTAATTAACCTGTGGGTTTTTTTTCCCTTGACAGTGCATCCTTTGATTCTACTGTTAGGTTATGGGATGTAGACAGAGGAATTTGTATTCATACTCTGACAAAACATCAAGAACCTGTGTACAGTGTAGCTTTCAGTCCTGATGGCAGGTACCTGGCCAGTGGCTCCTTTGATAAGTGTGTACACATCTGGAATACACAGGTACAGCTCTGCTGTCTGTTTAGACGTTTGTGTTTCGGTCTTTCCCAGCTGCACCCTTCCCATCTTCGTTGCTCTGTCATGTTTTGGTCACAAAGAGCTTTGCTGTTCCTAACACACTGATTTGCTTTCTCTTTTTTTCTAAGGTTACTTGTGTTAATGGATGTACATTTAATTTCTCTGAGTGCTTGCCTATGGTGAAGTAATAATTGGCTTTGCATTGTCTTTACTTAGCAAAAAAAACCAACCCCCCCAAAAACAAACAAACAAACAAAAACCCAACCAAAAAACCACCACCACCAAAACACATCCAGCAGAGTGTCTCCAGTAGCACGTTGCATCCAAAAGTTCTTTGTTAACTCTGAACTTTAAACTCCTGATAAACAGGTTTGCTGTGAAACGTGATGACTGGGTGTGGACGTACAAATCTGATAGCTTTTTCATTGAATTTCACCGAAAAACAAGAGATTGTAAAGTGAGAGAAGGCGATGATGACAAAGTGTTTCTACATAACTTTCTAAGAAAGGACACTATTGTTTTGTATTTCTGGCAAAAAAAAAAAAAGGGCCGATTGTGGATGAACGTCTAAAGACCTTGTTGTTAGGCAAGATGTGCTCTCTGGCTACTGGGAATTGGATATTAATTTTTGAAAGGCTCATTCCAGTGATTGGAAGTAGTCGTGACCATCCCCAGTTTTGCCTGACAAACACAGGAGATCAAGATGTGGGAGCTGTGTTTGTCAGCCTTTAACACAGTGCCGAGACTGTCCATGAGTCTCCTCTGGATCATTTCCTCTGAGAATTTCAGCTTTTAAAAGCAATGGGGAAGTTTTACATGTTGTGCAAATTCTACTTGATGCTTGGATTTTGTTGTATTAATTACATGTTTTGTCCCTTTTTAGACAGGTGCCCTAGTTCACAGTTATCGGGGAACAGGAGGAATTTTTGAGGTTTGCTGGAATGCAGCAGGAGACAAAGTTGGAGCAAGTGCTTCAGATGGTTCAGTAAGTGCTGCTTGACGTGGTTGACACCTAACAGCAAGCATCTTCTGGAAATCTTTTCACTAAGAATGGAGGCAAAATCTCCTTCTGTAGCTGAGGTTTGAATACAGCCAGCTCACCTGTAGATTTTCGCCTCTAAGGGTGCTGTACTGTTGGAAGGAGAATAGCTTTATTCCAGCTTAATGCATTACTATTCTAAGCCTTCCAATAATCTCAGAAGGTGAAGTTGCCTCTAATTTAGATTTCCCTACTGGGCCTTGCAGTGGAAGTGTGTTCAGCATGGCTGGTCTGTTCGTTGTAGTCTGGAAACAAGTTTTTTTGCCTCTTGCCCTTTTCAAGTGAAAATGTGCAGTGTAGGTGATATTCTTATAATGCGTGATAGGAATGAAGTATCTTCTGCATTGCATTCAACAGAAAGTACAGCAAAACAAAGCACCAACTTTTCAGTGCTCGTAATCAAAAGGCTCCTAAACCCAACAGGAACTCTATGTAAATACCAGTCTGCTTGGTTTGCTCAGGAGAAGCAGGGAATAAAATCACATTTAACTAATCATGAATGCACCCCGCCATCGGCTCATAGTGGTGCATTGTAGCATAGCATCACCTCGTAGCTCTTCTGACGTTGTCCTGCAACGTACTGCAGTGAAATATTATAAAATATTCATAACAAGTATGTAACAATTAATAACAAGTACGGTACTTGACTTGGTTTGCTCAGGAGAAGCAGGGAATAAAATCACATTTAACTAATCATGAATGCACCCCCCCATCGGCTCATAGTGGTGCATTGTAGCATAGCATCACCTCGTAGCTCTTCTGACGTTGTCCTGCAACGTACTGCAGTGAAATATTATAAAATATTCATAACAAGTACGTAACAATTAATAACAAGTACGGTATTTGATTTTTTTGCTTGCCTCTCTTTTGCCATGGTTTTAAAAGAAAGGAGAAGAGCCTAAGGAAAACCGAAGTTAGAATAAAATAAGAGTGATAAAGGAATTGTATTTTGAAGTGTTGTAGCTTAAAGTAACAAACGTCAGCAAAAAGCATTGCTGGTAGCTTTGTAGTCCGGGCTCAGGTAGTACCTTAACAGAGGTGCCAAAGCGTCCTGGCCTGCGTGCTCCCTGCTGGTAAGGAAGATCGGTTTGTTAGAGTTCAGAACAGAAAGTAGGAAGTTCTGAATTTTAAATAGACTAAATTCTAAAGAATTAATTTTTGTTAGGCTTTCATCTCATTTTAGTCTTATAAGTATAGATAATATCATAAAAGGAACAAAAGCTCAAGGCATATCCTAAGTAGAAATTAACTGTCGTTCCCCCTTAGAGGACCCTTTTATGCATGTGCTGTGTAACCTTTCCAGTCTTGCCGTTAATTTGACCCGAGAGGCTGATTGTACTTGCAATTTGTTTTTATTTAGTTTCTGCTCTTTTAAAACTGTTGGGTTTATTTTGTCTTGTATTGTTTTTTTTCTCATTCCCTCTGTTTTAAGGGTACTTGTAGCTGGTAGTAACTGAGCAGATATACTCACTTTGAACTGTTTGATGGCTAAAAGCGTGGCTTGTATAGGATTATATTTTACTCGTAGATTTCTGTATCTGACAGAACTAGAAGCACTACTTAGTGAAGAGCTTGACAAGAGTAAAACCGGAATTTGTAACCGTCAGCGTTTTTTTCAGAATTATTCTGATCAATTCTAGTATTTGCCCACGTATTTTTCATTCCATCGTACTGTATTTTTATAACCTAGATTCAAGTAAGTTCTCAGCCTCACAATATCAACTAACAGGCAGACAGCTTGCGTAAGAGGTTGTCGATGTTCTGACAGTAACTCATCAGGCAGCTGTACCCTTCGCCCTGGGTCTGCCCTGGGTGCTCATAAACAAAGTGCTCTCGCCTGGTGATGCCCCCCGCGCCCCCTCTATTGTTAATAGACACAAGACTGAGCTGACACAATCGATTTCATGGCTTGTGCTCCAACACTTCATGCAGAACTGTATAAATGTGTAGTATTGTGCAGTGGGCAATTCCTGTATGTGCATTTCTTTTTCTTGCAGGTTTGTGTATTAGACCTACGGAAATAGCGCTACTAGTTGGAAGCCATGGACCGACTATGAATGTGTACATAGCCAAAATGACTGTCCCTGACCCATGTACTGCTATAGTCCCAATTGAACCATGGCCAGTCCACTACAGCCAAACGTAAAAGAAATATATACATATACTGTATATAAAAAAAAAAAAAAAGGAAAAAGAAAAAAATTACACCCTGAAGAGGATGACAGAGTTTTGTCACAGCTTGTGAATCCTGTTCACCAAGTGCTGGAATCTGCTGTGCCCCAAAATAACATTTAAAGGTTTTGGATATGAAAAACAGAAGAGAGAGCGAGAGAGAGAGAAATATACCATACACAAGAGCAGACCCATATACATACCAAATTCAGAAGATACTAATGGCAGCCTTCATTACCCCTTCCCCCCTTTAAATCCATGATGGCAATGGATTGTGGGGTATTTTTGTTTTCCTTCTCGGTAGTTGAGCAGTTTGTGTGTACAGAGAAAATGGACTTACAGAAATCTGCAGCAGTAGTTTTTCCTTTGCTTTTAAACATTGGGTTTTCTGTTTTGTTTTGGTTAAGTTTGCGGATGCATGAAGTAAGGGAGTGAATTAGTTTCTTGTTTATATTTTTTTCACCTTGGAAAAAAATGTTTCTTTGAAACATATTTTAATGCATTCTTTGAAGAGGTAGATTGAACCTGATAATGTTTGGTACATTTTGTGGCTCCCAGAGCACAATTTTGTGAACAGAGGGAGGGTGGAAAAGGGATTGTGGAGAGAGAAGAAAAAACATCCTTCTTCGAGGCATGATATTTCATGTCCTGCTCATCTACAAAGTATGACAGTAATGGGTATAATGCTATGTTTTATTTTCTGGTGACATGGCTGAAATGCAGTAGTTTCTTATTTGGGACATAATTCTGCCAAACTTAAGAACAGAAGGGCACAAAAATACAGAAAAGAAAAATACAGGGATGCAAAAAAAAAACAAAAAAAAAAAAAAAAGGAGGAAAAAAATGCATCTTCTGTTGCTTTAAGACCATAGCTAAAATATGGTTAAATTGTGCACTATTGTGAAAAGGAGCAAAGTTATAGCTGGGGGATTGTTTTTAAGAGGTTAAGATCTTTCTGGACAAGGGTTCATGCCACAGCTTCTTTGAGAGTTGCCCATCATTATTTGTAGGAGCTTAGATGTATAATTGTAACCAAACTCCAGTATTAAAAGTATCTCATGTAATTTTTCTTTATTAAAATAAAATCTTTGGCATATATTTGATAACACTGCCATTAAGAGGCAAAATGTTTACTACCTTAGATTTAAAAAAAAAACTTAAACAGAGGACTTGCTTCAAGTTTATTTTAATAGCAGTGATTCAGCTTATTTAAAAGATGAATACTTGCACTAATTCCCCTGCTGCTCCAGTCCTGCAGTTTATTGTATCTTGTGACTACATTTTTTTCCAAATATAGGGTAGATGTAAGCTGCTATTTTTTTAATAATCACTACTATATAGTGTCTTTTACTCTGTTTACAATATCAAGTATTTTTCTTACAATGACAGATGTATATGGCAAACCTTTTTCTGCTCATGTGATTAAAAGTATACTGATAGTGATTTTATTTGTAAATGATAGCATGAGGTTGTGTTTACGCGTATGTGTAGTCGAAAAGGTTGCATCATGTCTTGCGTAAGATTCCAAGAGTGTAAATTTATAAAAAGAGAGGTTGTCAAATTTATGTCACAGGCATTTTACGTAAGAAATGGTTTATATTACAGAGCTTTGCAAAGTTACCGGTTTTATAACACTATTTCGATCATGGATCATTTTGTGGCTTATGATTGCTAGTCTCCAACCAATTTTTTTTTTTGGGGTTGTTTTTGGGTTTTTTTTTCCCCCCCTCTGAGTTAGGTATAAAATGATTTAATTGAGATAATGCAGCTTTGACATGTTAACTGTTGTTCTTCAGGCATTGATTTCTGCTATTTCCATGGAATAAACACGACTTGAAGCAAGTCTGAGTTTGGCTAAGGTAGGGTAGCAATTTGCCAGTGGTAAAGAGAAGTCATCGATACATTCTTTATAGATACCCCAGGATTATAAACCTATCACACACAGCGTTTAAAACCAACAAAAAGTCATATCCATAAAGACAGTCATCCGCGGTGGTTCGGTGCCAGCTATTTGTAGGGTTTTGGAACATATTACAAATGTTTAGAGCAATTACCCTGTGAGTTACAATATGTAGGAAACCTAATATATTGAGTGTCTGGCACTTGAAATATTGCTTTTATTGCTGGAGGTCCATGACTGTGGCTGACCTCTGTCATTTAATGAAAAAAAAAATGAAAATAAAAAAAAATTCTGTGCAATAATTTTAAACTGTGCTCCCAGGAATAGACACAAATGTTTTGAGTATGTTTAAGCTGCATTTTTCGTTTAGCAATGCATTTGTCAATTGCACTGAATTTAAATCTGAAAGTCAGAAGTGATTCTTGATAGTACTTTTGTATTTTAATATGGACAGTTTATTCATTTTCATAAAAGGTATTGGATGATTCTTTCAGCCAATCTAAACAATTGTGGTGGAATTCTGTGACATAGCTGCAAAAATCACACAGCCATGTTTTAGGGTATTGCCATTTTCCTCTTTCTCGATCATCAGCTGTTTTGGTTGTAATTCTAGTTGCTTCAGCGTAGTATCACCTATTCAGGATCAGATAAAACAGAACTTCAGTGTCACGGGTCCAGGGTGTTCAGGTGCTTGAAGCACAGGCCGGCAGGAACGTCAGATCTGTTGACTCGAGTGCTCTGGACGCGCAGGCTGAGACCCCCCACCCGGTGTTCATCAGCAGTGCCCCCCTGTAGTGGAATGGTGCCAGTTCCCACCAGCGAAGGAGCTGGCCGATAGGTATTTTATTGTTGTCCTTTACTAGCATGCCACAGTGCTGCTCCTGCTCACACCTCTTCTCGCCTCTTGCTCTGTACACTCTGAAGCGCATGCATGCAAGGTGTGCTAGGTTCTGTGATTATGTGACGCAAAAAGAAAACAAAACAAAAAAAAAACAACAAACCATGACGTTAATTATTATCTTTTATAGCACAGAGACCTCGTATTCGGTAGCGAGGTGGACTGCCCAAATTGTTCCTTTACATTGAGTATGCCAAATGTCAGCAAGACCCTGACTTTGTATAAGCATTGTGTGCACATGCTCAGTCCTACCTACCGAGGAATTCTGTGGCGCCTGTTTCCCAAGCGGAAAGGCACACGTGTGCGGACGCCTTTGCACGCAGTACAGTTCCAGTTTGTTCCAGTTCAACGCGTTAATGGGCAAATACCCAAACAGAGGGTAAAAGGAAGGGGGAAAACTGGGCTCAGAATTAACGACGGAATAAGAAAAGAACTGCTCTTGAGTTCGCTGTCTTTCTGTGCGTCCATCTCAGAATCCCGTTTCTCATTTCTGCATAATTAGGCCCAGGTTTCTGTAGAGTTCCTCTTTTTCTATTTTTACTTTACCTTTTTCTGCATTTTTAAATTGATGTAAAGATTCCCAACCAGTGGACTTCTTAGTGTAGTTAAGAGAATATCTAGGTCCTCATAAAAGCTTTTTTTAGACTCTTTGTAATGTTGATAAACTCAGTTTATTCTGGGACTACAATTGTGCAGGGTTATTTAGCGTGTCTACTAGATGATTGGAAATCTTATATGAAACACTAAAAGTGCCTCTTTTTCTGGGTTGGGTGGAGGGAGGTAATAGTTACCAGAGTTAGAATGACATGGCATTTTGAAGCATGTTTCTTGATTTCATGACACTTTAATGCATCTTGAGAGAAAGGCCAAAGATTTCTACCAATTTTAATTAATTTTCATTTTAAAAAGCACTCCTTTTTCCTTACACTGCTTACCTCATGCTAGGGTATTTAATGGGACGTTGTACCTTTGAAATGTTCTTTGTGTTTAGGAAGAATAGTAGGTGGCCTAGGGCGGTTGTGCCAGTTTGCCTGCGGAGCAATCTTAGCAGCTGATGCATTTAGTTCTGCTGAATGAAGGAATTGCATTAAAATCGCAAACTGGGTTTTTCAGCTTGTAAATAAAAGGTTGTATGTTTTTGTCTGTTTAGCGAAGAGGAGCCTTGGGACCCGATTTTTCCAATCTTTACTTAACCAGAAATCCCATTGTCTTTCACTTCATGAGAAAACCTTGCCAGCATAAGCATTGGAGGCGTTGGGTCTGTGTGATACCGTACAGCGCGCCGCGTAGGCGAAACGAGCCCCATCTCCCTCGAGCCGAGGCTCCCCTTGGCTTCGGTGGGGGTTTTGCCAGAGCAGGGCCTGCCAGATTTAGCCCGGTGTTCCTTTCTCATTGACGAGCGCGACAGCTTCTCCTTTACCGAGTCCTGCAGGGCCGTTCCCCAGTGGGATCAGTTTCACACTCTCCAGAAGTCTGAAGAAAGCAGAAGCAACATTGTGGCATGTTAGAAGCAAATATGGCTTCGGGAGACAGCAGTAAATCTCCATCACGATCCCTGACACTTTCCGTAGGGAGAGAGCCGTGGAGCAGTCTTCACTTCTCCCTCTAGAGAAAGCTCTGAAATACCACGTTCTGTGAAAGTGTGACTGTCTTCACTGTCAGTCTGATGGAAGGCAGACGAACCAGGAAAATCTGCCGTTTCTTGCGGATTGCAGATTTAGTGTTAATAGTGCTTCAGATCAGTAGTTTTGAGTACATAATTCGCTTTCTCTGCCTTTAAGTTTGAAGCTTGACAATAACTTGAGGCATGTTTTTGTTTTCTTTTCTTTTTTTTTAAATAATCATTCATTTTTACTTCATAATGTTTTTTGACATTTGTGGGTAATTACGAGAAAAACAGTCTGCATGTTGTTGCTAGTCCAGTGTACTTTGCAATCTTGTCCTCAACAGACTGCAGTGTGCAGAACAGTAATTCTAGAATACAGAAGTAATTTTCTCTCTCTCCTGACATTGACATTGTAGTTGTAATGGTTTCATTTGGAGTTACAAATCCTTTGGGTCTAATTCTGTGAGCCTACCTATAGCACTGGATTAAAATGTCTGCATCATTTCTTCAGTTATCCAGTTAAATTACAACTGTTGTAAAAGTGTAAACCAGCCCATGACAGTTTTTTGTACTTGTTTAAAGGACTTTTATTGTTCAGTTTTCATGAATATTGTCTAAAGAAGACTGATATAGATGTTCTATACTGTCCTGGACCATGTTAATTACACTTTATGATGTATTTTGGTTCTACATCACAATGATTTGTCCCCAAGGCCCTTATATCCCTTCTAGGCACATTTTCTGTTGCAGTTTCCCTTTGCATTGTATTGCTTTGACAACTGTAATTTGAATCAGATCTGAAAGAGGTCCAGAATAAAATATATTTTGATATTACCTTGGCTGAATGTTACATACCAGTGATTTAAAATGCTTGGTACGGAAGATTTACAGATGATTAAGCTGGGAAAGTGATAGACTGAAACGCTATTTTTACTGTTTGGTTTGGTGCATTTTCACATGACAATATGTAAGAAGCGACGGGAGGTGGAACACACTGTGCAGCTCCGTACTCGCTGTGAACACCCAGTAGCTCCTCTGAAACGGTGAGGCTGTCCTCTGCCACCATTTCCCGCTGTGCATTTGATTTACACCAACCGGTTTCTCACGTGTGCGTTTGACGTGCTTCGTCTTCTCCCTACCCACGCGCTTGTGGAAGACAAACTGAGGTTAGCGCTCCTCACAGCTTCACCCCCGCCGCTTTAGGAGACTCGAGAGGCGTGGGAGCAGGATCCTGCATGGTCACGCAGTCTCACGTCGGAGAGGTCTGGTCTTACGGAGTGACTCAATTGGATTACGCAAAGGAACGTTATTTGTGTTACTATATTTCAGATGTTTGAAACCATTTAGATTTACACATGAAATCACGTGCACCCGTCTATGCAT